GTTTTTCAATCAAGTTATGAAAATTCGCGATGAAAATAGGCCCAATGTATATCTATATAAAAAATAAACAGCTTAAAAGATACCAGACAAACACTCTAATGCATAAACAATGAAAAAAATCATAAAAATAATAAAGGGATTATAATGACTCCGCCATTTTTGTTTACTTAGTTGTTATAAACAAGTACGTTGCAGAAGAATGTAAGCCTTTGGGCTGGTAAGAAATATCTATCTATCTATTAGCCTTCTTCGACCCGTCTTTGGATATAGACCTCCCCAATCTTTTTCCATTCTTCTCTGTCTGTCGCTACAGTCATCCACCTAGAGCACACGTGTTTCTTTGTTTCCTCTGCTTCGTTATAAGAAAAGCGCTTTCTTAGATACATCTCAATAAGATATTATTATAATAATACATGAACAATATACAAATTAAAAAAGAATTTCAATTAGGAAAATTCTAAACTAATATCTCCCCAGACTGGGATTTAACTTCATCGGTTTTACCAATGAACCTTAACGACATAAATATTCAAAAACACTACTTGTAATTGTCAGCGCTTGCGTTCTATGAAAACAGAACCTCACATTCAAACTTTATAACAATCAAAAATTTAGTTATTGCCGACAATTCAAAGAATTACTTCCTTTAAATGTAGTTACATTGGGTTTTTCGATTAACCTTGGGTAAACCTTTGCGTTTTAAGTTCAAAGCTACCATACATTTCCAACGTTAACAAAAAAAACTTTTTTGCACATAGTAACAAAAAAACACCACTATGTTGTTACTAGCTAAGTTTTTTAACATCCTAACTCGACATTTCTAAAATTTACGGTATGGTAAATGTTTTTTATTAGATAATATATGGTAGCTAATTATAATTTATTCTCTTTCAGCCCTGAAGAAGCCAAATTAATTCTCTTTGGCGAAAACGTTCGGCGAAACAATTGATACACATTAGAGTTTTTCTTGCAGATTTCCCCAATATTTAAGAGTATACTATTTAACTTATCTGCAGATTAAATTTCTTTTCTTTATATATATATATATATATATATATATATATATATATATATATATATATATTGGCTATTAGTTCCGTATATCTGTGGTCAATTCCGCTGTTAATCAAAGAACTTTTCACTGTCCAATGTTCGACACTGTCAAAAGCCTTTTCGAAATCTATGAACACTATATATAGAGGAATGTGGTATTCATTAGCTCGTTCTATAAGTAAGTATTTTCATACTTAGTATGGTCGCTTGTGCTGAATCCCTTTCTAAAACCAGCTTGTTCTTTCGACTGGTATTCGTCGAATTTTGTCGTCAATCTATTGGTTAAAATTTTTGTTAGGAGTTTATACATTACAGTGAGGAGTGTTATAGGACGGTAGTTTTTTATATCTGCTTTATCCCTTTTCTTGTGTAGGATAAGGGTTACGGATTCCTTCCAGTTGTTTGGGATTCTTTTTTCTTTTAATACCTTATTAAAAAGAGAATGTAGAGTATGAATTACCACTTTTCCACCATATTTCAGCATCTCTGCAGTTATTCCATCTTTTCCAGGCGATTTGTTGTTTTTTATTTCTTTCAATGCTTTCTTTATTTCTGATTTGCTTATTTCTAGCTGTAGGTCTGAGTTGACATTTTTTATTTTAGCCATAAGTTGGTTTTTAATTTCTTCTGGTGGTTCCTTTTTTGTTTTATATAATTCTGAGTAGAAATGGTGGGGCTTCTTTTGTCCATTTTCGTTGGGGCTTCTTTTTGTAAAAGGAGTTTATTGCGTATATATGCTTTTCTTCTAAGTAGTTTATCAAAGTAACACGTCTATTATTTCTCTGATCATACCCGAAATCTCCTATTTTAGTTTATTCTTTGTTTAGTTTTCTACCCAGTTTTGCATTGAAATCTCCAATTACTAGTGTAAGACAATTTTTATGTTCTTCCATAGCCTTTGATATATCTTCAAAAAATAGTTCGATATCTTCGTCATCATAAGCTGTCGTGGGGGCATATATCTGGATAATTTTAATTGATGTTCTTCTTATTTTAAGTATGGCATAGGCGACACAATCTTATATACCTTTGATGATTTGGACATGCTTACTTATAGCTTTATTTATTATAAATCCTGCTATAAACTTACTATTCTTTTCATTTTCTTTATAATAGGTACAGTAGATTACCAGATTTTAGCAGTATTCGGTTTTATTCTTTTCGTTGAGTTTCTAATAGGATTATGATATCCAATTTTATGTTTGTTAATTCTTCTTCCAGTTCATGTATTTTTTCATCCGTGGACAGTGATCTAATATTGTATGTCCCTATTGACAGATTGACGGACTTTTTTAATTTAAGGAATATATTCAAAGTTATTTTATTAATTCAAAGACTATTTACGAAATTTGTGTAAGTCCTTTAAGTAACTGTAAACTCTAGCGAAAACATCTCACAAAAATAAACAAATGTGAACCCAACTCTCTTGCATCTCACCCCATTTATAAATAATGCATGCTAGAAAGGGCCATAATCAACTGACCGTCGCGACGTCGTCGACTGGGCAGCCATAGCAGAGTACACGAATGAACAGCCTACTCCACTTTTGTAGGTAAAGGAAGTTTCCAACAAAATAAACAAGTAAACTATGTTCTGTCGTCGTTCACTTTCAAAGTCGACTTCGACTTTTAGTCGAGGGAGTCGCCAACACGGAACGGGCGTTTCTGAAAGGATTCTTTAGGGATTGAGGAGGGTCATGCCGAAAACCTCCAACGTTCGGGCCTTTACCTAACTTACTCTTTTCATTAGCTATTACAGACACTATATCAACAAGGCAACATTCGAAGGCGCCTTGTTGAATTCAAACCGTCTTCTTATAAAGCTAAAATTTCAGTAAATAATTGTCGTGAATTCCTCATAGCACAAGAGAATTAAAAGGTACAGACATAATTTTATTAAAATATTACATTAAATTTATGTTATATTACAAAACTTACCCCGTTCATGTAACGGAAAAAGCCCACTATTTACTTACCTAAAAAAGAAAAAGTAGTTTAGCATTGGTTTATACAAATGTAATATAATTATTAATATTTTATGTGTAATACCAAAAAGGATGTTAGAAATAGCAGAGATGAAAACACGTACAGATATAACGACGTAGATGTAAGGTGGAGAACATCAAGAACTGTTTTTAAAATTTTTGATGTAGAAGTTGGAACTTGAAGTAAAGAATTTATTTTATAAATTGTTTCATCTAAAATATCTGTTTATTCACAAAATAGCTGAGATGCCAAAAAAAAGAAAGGTATTATTAATGTACATAATGCATTATCCATCTAGATACTGACAGAGAATGTAGCGTAGAAGTAATTTTAAACTGTTTGTCCTCGTTTTAGTGTAGTGTTTTTGTATAATTTATGTTATTTTTAATTTTTCCACATTCTACGCTTGCCGGATAGTTCTTATTTTGACGAAATGCCCCTGAAGATGCTATTTTAAGCGAAAGTACTTGGGCTAGATTTAATTAACTTGTTCTCGATAATAGCCTTATTTTCAAAGTTCATTTATTCGAGCATTCAACCTCATTTCATTTATTAAATAAAATTATGCTGAATAGCTAAAAGGTGCAATATATGGGGCAACTGAGCTTTTGAACATGAAGGCAGTTACAAAAGAAATTTATTTAAGGTTTGACAGTGAGATGAATGTGGGTTATGTTGTTCACTAGTAATCAGTAGTGATTTTCATCGTATTTTTATAATTTGTGACATTTACAACTAAAATAACCATGCCAATTTATCAGAGATAGAAAGATAGACAAACGTTTGCCACCATAACCGCTAACCTCCATTGATGGAGACGGCACTTGAAGAAGAAGAAGAATTTATCAGACGTTAAGCAGTGATAAGTTCTGTCAAGCAGAGCTGATAGAACTTATACGACTGATCGAAAACGAAAGTCAAATATTTGGTCTGCAATTAAACATATCAAAGACAAAGATCATGATAGTGGATAGACTACACAACAATCATCCACACATAACCACAATTGACCGGTTCGAGGTTGTGAGCTCATACTTATATCTGGGATCATTAATCACAAACACAGGGTCATTACAAGAAGAGATTAAACGTAGAAGTGATCTAGCAAAAGTTGTCACAGCAAAAATGACCAAATTATGGAAGGACTGTCAAATTTCAAGAGCGATAAAGATGAGGTTGATCAACTGCTTAATATTCCCAATACTGACCTACGGATGTGAATCTTGGACTCTGAGACAATCGGAGAGAAGAAAGATAGACGCCACTGAAATGTTGTATTGGAGACAAATGTTACGAATTCCTTGGACCGACCGTAGAACAAATAATTCAATTTTAAGAGAGCTAAAAGTTAGCCAACGACTCTCTAGTAAAGTCCATCTCCAACAATTAAAATATTTTGGGCATGTTATGAGAGCAAACACAGAAAACATGGAAAGACTCATAATACAAGGAAAGGTAGAAGGCCGAAAGATCACGAGGAAGATCCCCAACAAGATGGATAGATCAAATTACAGGAATATGCCAAAGACCTATGCATGAATTAAAAGAAATGACCAGAGACAGAGATCTCTGGAGACGGACAATACACGACATCACGTCGACCACTACACTCTTCCTGGGGGTCAGGATTGAAGAGAGAGAAGCAGTGATAAATTAACTATCGTTCTTGATATAGGATCTACATATACAAAATTTGGCTTTTCTGGTGAATTTGCTCCTAGGACAATTATAAAATCGGTAATTAGATGTAAGAAATCTGGTCAGCTAAGAAAAATATGGGATTACGAATCTGCTGAAGATCTTTATGATCTATTGGTAGAATTCGTGCATGTAATTTATTTTAGATCTGCTCTCCAAAGTCCAAAAGACAAACCTGTAATAATTGTTGGATCCTTGCTCTGCCCGACTCTGTTTAGAGAAACATTAGCAAAGGTTTTATTTTCCCACTATAAAATATCAATGATGCTTAGTTTACCTTCACATTTAGTGATTCTGGCCAATATTGCAGTTGATACTGTTGTGGTTGTAGATATTGGATATCAAGAAGCTGTGGTAAATCCAGTTTGCCACGGTTTTCCAATGATCCAAGCTTGGCAAGTACTACCAATAGGAACTGAAGCTATACACAACAAATTGAGAACACTGCTTAGTAGTAACAACACAGAAATACAAAATTTATCAGAAGAAACACTGGAGGATATCAAAGTAAGATCTTGTTTTGTAACAGAAAAATAGAGCTGAACAATTAGCACAAGCAAAACCTGATATAGTTGCTTGCCCAGATGTGAAATGTCCAATAGGGGTAACGAAGAGTATAGTAGTTACTGGAAAAGTCAGGGAAAGAACTTTTGAAATATTGTATGAGGAAGATAATGATCACTACTGTTTGTCAACGATGATACTTGATGCAATATTACAAGTAGATCTAAATCTTAGACAGAAATTATCTGAGAATTTGTTATTAATTGGTGAAACAACTATGATACCAGGTTTCAAAGCCAGATTAAAAGAAGAACTAGAGCATCAATTGAAAAATGAACGGTACAGCAAATTACATTTGAAAGGACTTGGCTTTCATTCTGCTCCGTGCAAAGAAAATTATGCTGCACAGCTAGGAGGTGCAATATATGAGGCAACTGAGCTTTTGAACATGAAGGCAGTTACAAAAGAAATTTATTTCAAAACAACAAATTACCTGATTGGGTCCATTTAAGGGAAGGAGGTCGAACGCTTTAGATATTTTTATAATTTTTATTCCTATTAATTTTTATATGTGCATTAATAATACCTTTCGTTTTCTTCTGGTATCTCAGCTTTTTTGCAAATAATATTTTGTGAATAAACAGATATTTTAGATGAAACAATCAAGAACTGAGTAAGAAGTAGAAGAGTAGAATGGAACGATCATATAAGCCGAATTACAACAAATAGAGTAGTAAAGACGGCAAGAGATATTTGTTTATTTATTTTCTGTCAGATCAACGCAATCGAAATCATGTTAAACTATTTTACAGTGTAAATTAAATATTCCATACGAGTTTTATTAAAGATCAATGAGTTTCGTAAGGTAATAAACTGATACATAAAACTAAGTTACAAATTAGTTAAGATATAGTATTTCCTTGTTCAGTTGCTTTTATTACATCTTAGTGAATATAATTAGGTTCGAGAACTACTTTTAAACGGTCATTTTGTTGTACAAAACTGGTAGGTATAAGAAAGAACCGGTAAAGCATGTAATTAAACAAGAAAAGCAAAATTTAATGCGTAAAATGCGGTTAAATTGAGATATTAAATCCCAAGCAATAAATATCAGGATAGATAATATCGATCAGAAACCAACTGTGACCGTTTTACTGGACTGGCTTTAGAGGAAAAAAGGAAAAATTTGTAGATTTTTATCGAATGGAATGCCTAACAAGTAGTTAATTTAAAATAAGTGTTACGTGAATTTTTATTGATGCGATATGCTGATAAATGTCGAATATTTTATAATGAACATCCATATTGATGAATTTGAGAAGCGCAAAAGGTCTTTATATTATATAAAAAGATGCCTTAAAGCCTATACTTAATATATAAAAAAACATAAACTCGAGAAACCGTTTAAGAAAAAGGTATTTCTACGAATTTTCAAGTTGAAATCATTTTTACATGATTCCTTTTATATGAGTATCTAATACGTTATTATGTAAAATTAGAATAACAAATAACTAGACATTAAAAGACAAGAACGTTATTGATTCTTTTCAGATCAGAAAGTAGGAAGTTACCTAAAATATAAAATATTTTGCAGGCAGATAGTAAAAGAAAATTTCTTCAGTATCGAAACAAAATAATAGTAATTCTTTTATTTTTTCCCTTTTTCTTCCTCTGAAGTCAGTGAGACACATTGATTCTAGCACTTGATCGTTGCCGTTAAAATCAACCAAAAAGTAGTGTTTTTTAATTAGTAATCAAAGTCAGTATTTCTTAAGGGAAGTCAAAGAATTTCTCTTAGCATAAACATGGATTTCATATCGAAAATGTTTGTAGACAAGATTGTATGTACTGAATTGAAGGGAAAAGACTCCCTACCCCCTGCCGGAGGAGGAGAAATTCCGTTTAATGCGGGAGATCTTTCGTCAGGTGAAAAGAAGGGTAAAAGGGTTACCGGTTTCGTAGAGGCCAAACCCCTTACTGAGTTGGAACTTAACGAAATTGTTGGATATATGAAGATACCAAAGGCACCTGGCATACACGGAGTCATGCTAAAGACTGTAAGACTCGATGCACCGGGGTACCCGTAGGTTTTCATGAAATTGCTAAGACAAACAGTAGTTTCCAACTCGTTAGAAAGACGCTAAGGTAATCCTTATCGTCAAAGATGGAGGGGACGAGAAAGAGGTGCGCTTTCGGCCAATTGGCCTTCTTAGTTCGGTAACTAAATTAAACGAAAACTTGTGAAAGCTAGAAGTAAAACATGTGTTGGGCGACCGACAATATGGTTTTAGGGATAAAAGGTCTACCATAGATGCGGTCACAGTGACCTACGTACCTGATCAACGTGGTTGACAGATACTGTACTGGCAGTTCCATAAAGGAAAAAGATAACACCACTAGGTTGTTGCAGGGGGTTTCATAGGGTTCGCTACTAGGTTCCATCCTGTGGAATGTCTTACACAACACGGTACTGAGGCTACATATGTTATGGGGATGCACTTGTAGCTCATGGCAATGATCTCGCACTGGTTGCGAAGGCGAATCAGAAAACGAACATTGCTAATGCTGCTAACACAGCCCTTGGTAGTTCTCAAAAGGAGCCATGAGAAATCCTCTCTTCGCTTTATACCGGAAGGGGTAGACGTTGCAGCATTTAAATCGGTTAAGTATCTCGGAGTTTGGCTATCAGAAGGACTGCAATTTGAAAAGAAGGTAGAGAAGGTGAACCGAAGTCTTGAGGCCTTGATATGGCTAATGCCGAACATTGCAGCAAAAAAAGGGTGTTAAATCGAGTTTTCCAGTCGGCGGTGACATACGCTGCTCCTGTGTGGTGTAGCGAACTGAACACTGTAAGATACGCCGAGTTGATAAAGACTTCGCAAAGGCAAGTACTCCTCAGGGTATCTAGCACCTACAGAATGGCCTCAAATGAGGCTCTGTATGTCATTGGAGCGGTGAGACTGATCGTCTTGTGCAAAGAGCGAGCGAGGGTGTATGCCAGAGAATGGATGGAAATATAGATGAGGAAGAGAGATAGAGAACGATAGAAGGAGTGGCAGAGGGAATAGGCGAATCATAGCGGAATGGCCACTTGGAGGAAGGAGCTTATTCCTGATATGGGGAGACTTCGAGGGGCCAATGAGTTTCAGGCTGGATGAAAGAAACATGGTAAACGTAATATTAAGAGGAGAAAAAGAGAATGGAGAGAAGTGTACTGTCTGATTTCTGGAGTGATGAAGAAAATATGCATGAGGACAGAGTAGGAAATGGAACTGAAGTGCTCTGAAATCTTGTTTTGTTTTGTCTTGAGAGCCAAGAAAGCAGTAAGTACCAAAATTAGTTCATGGCCTCACGGAAATGTTTTCGTTTTTTGTTTTCTTTTGGTAGTAAATAGTATTTAAACAATGTTTTCTGATTTATGGTGGTAAGAATGGTTAGTTTTAAGTTTTGCTTAATATAATACATTTATTCTTCTTTTAAGGTGACGGTTAATATATGGATTTTAGTTTTTTTATTGAGTGATATAATATATATATATATATATATATATATATATATATATATATATATAACACTGTTTTTGATGGGTTGGAGTCAATAAAAGGGGCTATTTGTTGACTATTTTTTACTCGAGCTTTCAATTGTGATTACAATTTTTATCAAGAGCTTCTAAAAAATACAAAATGTCTTACAAAGTTGAACTAGAAATAAAAAATTTTTTGTTAACTCACCAAATAAAATTAGTTTTTTATATAAAACTACTGCTTACATATTAAATACAAAAAATATTAATAAAAAAATGTCTTATTCTAATAAATGTTTCTCTGAAAAATTTAGATGAAGTTTCTTAAGAAAAAAAATTGAATTTATAAACAAAAATAGAATAGCTACAACCAGCCTAATTTATTTTTGACATATTGTCAAAAATAAAATTTTGTTTAAAAAATTCTTCTTTGTTTAGTAACAAAAAAGAAGAAGATTTATTCACCATTGATAGATGCCCGAAAAAATGTAACAAATACATGGAAAATTCAAAATGTGATATTTTACTGACTGCATAAATTAAATAGAAATTATATAATTATAAATTTTGCTTAAATTTTGAATTTCTGACCTTTTGTTTAAATTATTATCACTTTTGCTAATACAAACCATTTCCAAAAAAGTTCTTTTAAATTTATTACTTTCATTACATAAAATTTTAATATTATCAAAATCCATAATATGGTCTTTGTCTATTACATGCTCTGCCAAAGCACAAGATGGTTTCTTATAAAATATATATTTCTTAAGAAACCATCTTGTGCTTTGGCAGAGCATGTAATAGACAAAGACCATATTATGGATTTTGATAATATTAAAATTTTATGTAATGAAAGTAATAAATTTAAAAGAACTTTTTTGGAAATGGTTTGTATTAGCAAAAGTGATAATAATTTAAACAAAAGGTCAGAAATTCAAAATTTAAGCAAAATTTATAATTATATAATTTCTATTTAATTTATGCAGTCAGTAAAATATCACATTTTGAATTTTCCATGTATTTGTTACATTTTTTCGGGCATCTATCAATGGTGAATAAATCTTCTTCTTTTTTGTTACTAAACAAAGAAGAATTTTTTAAACAAAATTTTATTTTTGACAATATGTCAAAAATAAATATAGGGCTGGTTGTAGCTATTCTATTTTTGTTTATAAATTCAATTTTTTTTTTCTTAAGAAACTTCATCTAAATTTTTCAGAGAAACATTTATTAGAATAAGACATTTTTTTATTAATATTTTTTGTATTTAATATGTAAGCAGTAGTTTTATATAAAAAACTAATTTTATTTGGTGAGTTAACAAAAAATTTTTATTTCTAGTTCAACTTTGTAAGACATTTTGTATTTTTTAGAAGCTCTTGATAAAAATTGTAATCACAATTGAAAGCTCGAGTAAAAAATAGTCAACAAATAGCCCCTTTTATTGACTCCAACCCATCAAAAACAGTGTTATATTTTTTCCAAACGAGTCAAAAGTACTTCTTTTTTCTTACTCTTATATATATATATATATATATATATATATATATATATATATATATATATATATATATATATATATATATATATATATATTATTGTGATATTTGAAGTCTTGGTGCGCCAAGCAATTAATTAGCTAATCAATTAATTAATTAATTAAAATTATTTAAATGATATGACTATGACTCTATCACACTTTATAATTCTCTTATCTCAGGGTTAAATTCGTGCTTCAATATCTATGCTATTACATGTGAAAGGTAAGGTCCAAAGAATACCGGAATAATAAAAAACATATAGGATCTAACGTTATATATTGAAATAAAAATAATGAAATAAAATTCACACTCAAAAGTTTTCAATAAAACAAAATCTCATATAATGATTCTCAAAATTTTGTTCTACGTACGTGAACCTTCAAAATTAATGGTACAAACAATATTAGTTGAAATCTCAAAATCCCAAATATTATTCTAAATCTCCTA